CCCAGCATTCATATTAAGTCACGTTGGATTTTGGTGTCTCTTTCCATTAGATTTCTCTAATAAACTTGTGACATTGTAATTGTAGTTGGCAACCCATGTGTTTAAAGGAGTTCCTGGTTTGCATGTTTAGTCAGATTACTTGAGACAGGTTGAATTTTTTATTTTTTTTTTCCATGGAATAACTTACAGGAAAACTCTACTGAGCAGGAAGGGTTCTTACATGCTGTCCTTCTGAACTGTCATCTGAAGAGTTTGCTCTTAACTCAACAACTAGGTAAAATGCTTTCTTGTTTTCGTGCTAAGGGGTGCTATCTCAGTCTTATGGGGCATATTTAAGTACATAGCTAAGAAGTAAATGGCTGCAGGATCACCCCATAATTACTGATTAATCACTCTTAGTGATTTGTTTGTGGTGTTTTGCTGAAGGGAAAAAGGACGATAATTAGCTACTGCTCTTTGAAAAAAAAAAAAATCTTGATTATGTTTTGTATATGCTAAGTGATGATTTAAAATATCTGGACATTTCAAAATGGATCCATAGGGGTGGATTCATGATCCTGCACAGGCAACTCGCTATTGGTTTTGGATCTTCATCATCTTTCTTTCTAGCAGAGAAAAATGCAATTATAGCTTTAAATATAATAAACTGCATTTGTAAAACAAGACAAGTTCATGGTTAGGATCTGGTGATCTGCTGTGTACTAGTACACCTACTTTAATACAAAGAGTGAGACTGTGTGTGTCTGTGTTTAATTTTGTGTACCAGGGGACTAGATAATGAAGTGATGTGCTTCATCTACAGATCCTTTGGAAAATTTCTGTAGAAAGGCAGTGTTTCGTTATTGAGGCTGACTAGCCTGCATGCTATGGCAACCACAACTGTTTTTTAGTGATAATAATAACAACTCATTTAGCAATGAGGAAAAACTAAACAAAAAACCAAGCACCCTACAGCAATTTGAAGTGAAGCAAAATAGAAAGAAACCAGCAACTGTAACCATCTGCAAGCCGTGGTTCAAAACACTAACCTTCTACTTCTTTGGAAATAAATCAGCTTTATTTGGAATATTTCTTAGGTGCTAATCAAGTGAAATTAATAAAATGGCTTTATGTTAGATCTTGAGTCTACTCACATCTCCTTATTTTTGACTGTCTTTGTCTTCCCTTTGTCTGCAAACAATCACAGGTGAGAATGTAAAAATGGAAACATCCTAAGAGATTTTTGAGATCCTGTGTTATTCTTACGGGTATCTTTTTTCATTTCCATCCGTCTGTTCATCTTTCTTTAGAACTGGATTAAGGAGCTGAATCTTGCCCTGCTTTCTTTTGGGAACAGCCATTTCTGATCAGACCTTTGCCTCAGTACATTTCCTGCTGCCCCTCATTTGATGGCCCTTCTGTCTTTCTCTGGGCTTTTTGGTAGTGCCCTCTCTGAGACTGGTCATGCTTCCGGTAACTTTCCTCTGAGCTTTACCCTACTTTGTTTTGTTGGTAAACTAAACTATTGCAGGTTGTATGTTGGTTTTAGCAAGTTTTGTAGTGGTGTTGGAATGTTATGCCCTTTTTTTTTTTAATCTTTATATATGCTGGTTTGTTCTTGTCTAACCAGTTCAGTTTCTGTTCCAGTTTGCCTTCCCAGATTTTACCAGACTTTCAGAGCTCAAATCCAGTTGTTTCATTGTTGTTGATTTTTTATTTAAGTTTTGTAAATACATGTTTAGCATTTTAAATCAGTGTGATTATATAACAGGTTTTAGCACAAGCTTAACGTAGGGGCTACCTTAAAAAAACTGTGGCTGTATTTTTTAGATCTTGCACATATTCCTGGCTTTGATCATTCCAGTAGCCAGAAGGTTTCTGGCTACATTTGTAAGCATTTAATCAACTTGTTTTGCTAATTGTTTATACTGTAATTTGTTGTTAGCATCTGGTTTTATTTGAGTTGTCTAGATATTTGTCCAGGCTTCTGTCTGTCAGTCTCTTCAGGAGCTATTTCTGCTTTAATCTCTTCCTGAAAACTAGTAAACAATATTAAAATGATCCGCATTTTTAATACATAGTTACACTATATATACTGGAGTGGATTTAAGAACTTTCCTTACCATACCCACAAAGCTCTAGTTTTGTTTTTATTCCCAGTTTATTTTAATCTCTGTCCTATGCAGTATGGTCATGCTAAAAATATCTTCATTAAATTGCCATTGATCTACAGCAGTGCATTCGGGCATGCTGTGTCTGAGCCCTGTAATAACTTTGCTTTAATTAAGTTAATAAGTGTATCGGAAAATTAAAAAAAATCAATAATTTCTAAATTTTTTCGTGTGTTCCTTTTCTAGGACTCTCAGATAGCTGCATTGATTTAACTAGTTACTTTTATTTAGCTTTGCTTGTTAATTTTAAACTGGCCTCGTTATCCTCTTGGAAATTTTTTTAAAGATTCCAGACTTTGTACTTAATACATATTTTGTGACTGACTGAAGCACATATTTGCAGAACTACCATTGAAGAACTTTTAAAGAATTTTTAAATCAAATAGTTATATTAAAAAACCTCAACTAATTTGTGTAACAGCATTTTAATGGAATATTGGGTTGGAAGAAAAATTGATTTGGCATCTCTGCTTGGTAGTTTAAAACCAACAGACACACTGGCTAGCCACGCTCCTTCATTTTGTTTTCTAGCCTTGTAAACATTTCCACATTCCATCTGTGATGTCTAGTCCATGCATGAATAAAATATGAAGTAATTTAATACCACATAATATGTCAAGAGGTTGCTGTTTATTCTCAGACTTGAAATGAAACTTTTTAAGATCCCATGCTGAGAGCTCTTGGGTTTTTGCTACTCATTCAGGGCCCTGCCTAAGAGGCAGAATGTCTCATTCTCTGTAACGTGGAAGAAACCATCTTGGGTTTGTACTGTTATTTATGTAATGACTGTATTCTTCATGAGGGTGCTGAGGAGGCAAGAGGAGTTAGCTCTCAGTTCTCTTCTCCTGTTTGGAATCACAGAGATGGTGCAGAGCGCACAGGCCATCCCAGCTATCATCCTTACGGGAGCCTGCATCCCAGAAGCAGCTGTGGTTGGATCACAGACAGGCAACTGGAAGTCTCTGTAGTGCTTTATCCCAAGACTGGTAACCTTCCAGGATGGAGGTTACAACTCAGATGAAGGGATAAAGGCAGTGTCTCAGCAACTTTGTGTCCCTATCAGTTCAAACCCCTGTGCCAACCCAGCAGGTTGGGATCACAAGGCCATTGGGGTTTACATACTCTGTATGTGTGTTTGAAACCCTGTTATTTGCTCTACATTTGACAGATTGCAAAGTTCTAGTTGTGCAACCATGTACTTGTGCCAGGATGAAAAGTTTCTGGGCTTGTGTTTCAGTCTAGTGAAAGATAACTCTAAAATGATTCTTATGTGCCGGTCTGTGCTGTAGCATGTCCAGGAGCATTCAGTATCTGTGACAACATGTCAGTGTGACACAGGAGTGGCATAAACTCACCCTTGCACCTTGCTGTCTGTGTCATCCCTAACTCCTCCATCCACATGTAAATAAAGATTACAACTGCACCTTAGCCATTATAGCTGTTAGCATATGGCCCATACTCAACATTTTATCTAAATAGGTAACATCTGATTCTAACTCTGACTTTTGTTTTCTTGGTTAAATAATGAAAGAATACAGTTAAAATTACTGTTTGACTAGCTGTTATTAAACTTGCTTTTTCTTAAATCAGAATTTAGCACTTCTGACAGTGAAAAATGGATACCAAAACAACTTGCATCTGTTATTTTAAACAGCCTGACAGTTAATATATATTCTATATTAATGTGTGAATGAGATGTGAATATTAAAAAAGATATTAAAACAAATAATTTGTTTTCTTTATCTGTAGTGCTTTCTTCTCAGGAAAAGGGACACCATCATTCCAGATAATGACCTGTGTTTTGTCAATTAAATTGCTGTATGTTTTCTTGCTAAAATAATTATTAGACAAGCCTTCATGAACATGTTTGTGACTTGCATTTTCCCTTTTCTCCTTCCTTGATTACAATTCCCTGGCAGAGACCAGATTGCTCAGCAGACTACCAGACATTAGAGAACCAAATTCAGATATATCAAACTATGATCCCACATATGAAAATGACAGACTGGAGTAAACATGTGTGAGTTGGTTTTAGTTTTTGAAATACCCATTTTTCCCAGCTTGCATTTATATCCAGGCATATGTTCAATATGTTGCCATAGAATATTTAAGTAAATAGTTTCAATAATAACTTTCCATGAGGATAGTATCTTCAAAACTTCACTTTCCATTGTCATGTCAAAAAGAATTTTTAGGTGTATGTGTATCTTTGCAAGCTCCTGCTTGGCTCTTTGGTTTCATTTTAGTCCATGAACTGTGCAAACTTCTGCTTGGAAAATTAGGAGTGTGGGATGCATACAGGATATAATGGGAATTGTGGTTTGTAGAGAACAGTCTCTGGAGTCACCTTACAAGTCAGTTTTATTGTGTGCTAAAGCCATCTGTGTGACTTGCTGTTACCAATATTGTTTGGACAGCCCTAAATCAAGTCCTGAATGGGTAGGATTGTGGAAGACAGGTTTTTACTGGTATCCTTCAGGTTAAACCAACTAATGTCCAGCCTTTTTTTTTCTTCTTGGCATAAAAAGTATTAGCAAGAGGTAAGTTTGTGCTAGCTGTCCTTGTTTCACCAAGATCTATCTTCTGCAAACAGGCTCGTGTTTACAGAAACCAAAGTGAAAATAGCATGTGAACAGCAAAAACCAACCGGGGTCAAAATAGTTGTGCATTTGCATAACTGGACGGCATTTAAAGGGCTGGCCAGCTCACTTGGGTACAGTTTACTACAAGCTTTTCCTTAAGAGGTTGTCCTCTTCAGACACCTCTCAAAAGTGGAAGTAAAAGGCTCTGATTTTGAATAGCGTTGTTTTCACACAGTAGTAGAAAACAAGTTTAACCGTCTTGTTACAGTTTTTGATAAATGGACATTGACATGGACTACGAAAGACCCAACGTTGAAACTATCAAGTGTGTGGTGGTTGGAGATAATGCAGTGGGAAAGACTCGTCTGATCTGTGCAAGAGCCTGCAACACAACCTTGACTCAGTATCAGCTGCTGGCAACTCACGTCCCAACTGTCTGGGCCATCGATCAGTACCGTGTCTGCCAAGAGGTGAGGACTGCAGGTGTACACAGTGTGGAGCACATGCTGTGAGCTGGGACTATTATTTATTGGCAAGCCTTGCTCTGTCAGGATGCAGCAACGAGCTCACAAGTATTTTATGAGTGATCTCTGCTGCAGCCGTGGTCTGATACACCTCTCATTCTAAAGGAAACTTTTTATCAAACCTATTTTTAGGAAGGTGCATATTCTGCCTGTTTTATGAAACACTACATTTGGTGAAAACTATGTGGGATAGACTCTTGACCTTTGGGCCTTCTTGTGGGACTAATTAGAAATGTGCTTGTTTGATGGAGGGAAAGAGAACATTATGTGTGCTCTGTTCTAGGTCCTCGAACGCTCAAGAGATGTTGTGGATGAAGTGAGTGTTTCTCTCAGGCTGTGGGATACATTTGGGGACCACCACAAAGACAGGCGCTTTGCTTACGGAAGGTAAATTGATCTGAGCAGAATTTTAAGTAGTACTTGCGGTAAAATTTTAGGGCAGAAATAAATTTCAAATCTGACTTTTGAAAAGGAAGGACTTAAAAACAATCACGGGTATTCATGTTCCTGCCCACTGCAAAGAGGATTATCCTCTGCAAGGATTAAAAAGATATAAATATTTGAAAAGCAGCATAGTTTTACTACGCTACGTTTCCTTGAACAACCTGCTAAGCTCTGTCAACAACTGTTGTCCTATTTTGAATTTTAAAGAACATTCCCTAAAATAAGGTAGTAGTTTTACAAAACTGAACATCAGCGTTCCCTGCCTGTATAAGCAGTGCATGATATAATTGCATAACACACAACTAACAAGGAGAGATGTTGGGAAATATCACTCTTACACAATGAGATATTCATTTTATTAAAATCCGTGATGTTGAATGAGCAGATAACCTCTTGAGAGTAGAGCCAATTTCAGGAAAGGTGAGGCTCTTCCATATTTTCTTAATTAAAGCTGAGGAAAAGAAAGATATTTATAGAAGAAAAATAAAGTGTCTGTTGGTGAATGGATTAACCCTGGAAATTCTAAAAGAAAAAAAAAAATCAAAACCTAATGAAATCTAGATTTTCCCAGCATAATTTATATATCTATAATTTTCATATATATAAATTATATAATTTATATATAATTTTTGTGTGTGTGTGTGTATGTGTGTATATATATATATATATATATATATAATGCGTATAAGTTCAGCATAGTTTCAACAAGGAACACAGCCAGTGATAGTCCTTCTGGTTTGTTTAGATCTGGCCTTGTGGCAGTACAGGCAGCAGAACAGCCATATTAGGCAAACACTGAGCCAAAGATGGGTTTTGGACATTTATTTTCATAACTGACATTTGGGTGAGGTCTCAGTCCTCGCACATTCTTTCACCTTGTTGAGCTTTTTCATAACCTTTTCATATCTGCTTCAGTCACTGCAGATGATCAGACTTTCACAGACAGATACTTACTTTTTTTTCCAGCTGGGAACGCCCTTTGTGGAGTGTCAGTCCCAGCTTTGTGTTCCATGTTGCCAAAATGTACTGTCTTGCTGTTTTTCTTCTCTCTCTGCTACCTGATGGCACAAGTGACTTTGAAGGAGGATGCTCTTTTCTATTCTCTATGCTCCAGAGGGTTCTGTAGGTTGAATCCACCCATTAAATTTTCACACTGTAGAACTCAGTATGATGGTTTGTGCAAACCCTCCTTTGTGTACAAGCACTGTGGTAGTTGATTTTTCACCTGGAATTTTCTGTGAGGAGCTAAAGTAGCAACACATGTGTGAATCAGCTTTGTGAGAGAAGTTACTGACTTTAAGGTAATATTGACCTTATATTTAGTGCTACTTGAGAATGTGAATAGATACTGTTTTACCTTTTGGCAGCGTATGGAGCCTGCATTGATAAATTTGGGTGTAACTTATTGTTTCCACTAACTGTTCCACTTTGATGTGGCCTCCCCATATTCTGCAACAGATACTGTGTCACTGAGAAGATTATTAGAGATTAGGAGAGCAGAATCAGGCATGTTCTGAACTCTGATCCCACATTTACTGACAGGAAGGGAGAGGGAGGAAACAACATGCTTAGAGTCTAATCCTGCAAACGCCAAGGAGGACGTGAATAACTTGAGATCTCGTGGATTAAGCATATAGACACAGCAATTCATTTGTGATGTTAGCAGAACTGAACTTGTGAAGAATGAGGTTTTCTATACCCTAATTAATTTATAAGGCTGTTCTGGAAACCTGCTATCCCATTAGTGGTTTTCCTGCAAGTCTGTTAATGCAGAAAGCGATTGGGAACTGTAAAAAAACTACTTAACAGATAGAATTTCAGTTGTAAAATTTTGTGATCGTAAGCACTGATAGGTACTTTGTTTTGAAATGTATTAATGCTGCATTTTAAACAAACTGTTTAGTATTTTATCTGGTTTAGCATTTTAAAAAGAGTTTATCAATGTTGAATGTTCACATTTATAGGAATTTATTTTAAATCATCTCTGGACATTGAACTACAGTCTAGTCAGCTGTGTCAAATCTTGCACTACAGTGAAAGGTGCATTTTATGCCAAACTGCTCAAAATTACACCTACAAGGGCCCCATGTTTTGTGGTCTGAAGGATCATACAATAATATTATCCTTTGGTTCCATTCAAAAAATTTTATGCATATGCCCCTTATGCATGGGAAGGTTTATTTCAGCAAACATTTAAGCAAGACCTCTAATTGTCCTAAATGTGGTGTAACAAGAACCAGTAGGTCATTAATTCACCTGCTACTCACTGGAAAAGTTTGCTTCATACAGCTTTAGAAAGTGTTACATAAATAGATTATGCTATAGATGACAGGTGAACAGTTAATAGGACTTGGAGCAAAGATAAATCCTTCTTAACTCTTTATTTTTCACAGATAGAAACATGAAAGGAGAATGGCAAAAGGAATCTGTTTTCCACTATTTTTCTGTGACAGAGAGAAACATTTACATTCCACTGACGATGGAATAGTTAATGTTTTTACTGCCACCCTTTAAAATGGCAGTGTGGAGGGTGAGATCAGCTTGCATTCTGCTGTGTGGTGTTTAGTTTAATAATGACAGTCCTCCGGGAGCTTTGGGAAACAGTTCCTGACAGCTTAAGGGAGTGAGGGGGATGTGGCTGGAGAGACTTGGGGAAATATTTGCTGCATTTTTACAGCATGACATTTCCCCCCCACCTTAAACTAAAATGTGTGCTTTAATTTTGGAAGTATCCTGTTCACTTCAGCTTAGGCAATATGTGAAGCCAAAGTCATTTATTGACATTCTCCCATAAGGTTTTATTTGGTGCAAAATCACTCCAAAACCTTGTAAAATGACAATGTCTTTGTTATGATTAATGTATTGATTTCCAGCTCCCAGTCACCTCTTTGTTTATTAACAATCTCATCTCAGTGCTATGTAATTGTATTCTCTAAGCCTGCAGATAAGGTGTGAACTTCATTTGAGGCCCAAGTTGTTATTCTGTAGCAGTTTCTCTGGGAGGCATGTGAAAAGACAAGAAAACATCTTAATTTACATTTCAACTTGTCAGGATTCACTGTCCTCCATCCTCCTGTCCAATCTGGTTTTGAATGAAAGTGTCCACATATCACGTTCAAAATAATTCTAAAAGCTGGCTCGCACCCTTTTTTTATTTTTTTTCCCATCCTTTTGTTTTTTGGTTTTTTTCAGGTAAACATATTTGGCTAATTTGATAAATAGCCTCTGTATCCTGGGGTTTTTTTCCATGCAGCTCTAGTATGTGTAAACATGAGCACAAATCTACAAAGAGTTAATTCAGTCTCAATCAAATATTTATTCTCAATACCACGGATGGGATTCATCAGCTAATTCAGCCAGGATGATTTATTTACTTGCAACTTAAATATGAGCTGTAGACCAAACAAAATCTGTTCATACAGCATGGACAGAAAACAGCTTTTTCCTCATGACTTACAAATATGAATGAGTCTTGCTGTAAGACTGCTGACAGAGCCTCTTAAAATATGTTTAGAGTATTTCCTCTGTTGTGAATGGATTTCATAAGCCTTGTGGATGTTGTATGTACACAGAGGAACACAGGCATCCGACTTCTTCTGTGTGATTACAATTCCCTTAACCGGTTACTTCAATGTAATTGAATCCCTAAAAATACACCTTCAAAATGCTGCTGAAAATAGTCCATCAGAACAGGGGTTTTATCACTGATGTTTGAAGATTTCCACCAATCTCTTTAGGGTTGTTTTTGTTTTCTGTTTCTTTTTCTTAAAGGACAATGATGATGATATTTCCATTTAAAAAAAAACCAAAACCAACAAAACAAAATCAAAAAGAAACAGGTAGCTTTGATGTAAAGTGGTATTTGCATTCAGCAAGTTCAGTGAGATTAGGGCAAGGTGGGGGACTTCACAGAGTTACTGGGTTTGCCTTTAATTAGATCAATGACCTCTGTCACACAGCACCTGTCCCTAAGCTGAGACTGGGCCAGCAGCTCCCTTCCTTGGACCAGGGAAGGTCTGAGGTTTCAAAAGTGCTTTGTGAATGAAAGGCCACACTTTCCCCTGCAGTCTTGCTGTCCTTGTTTTTGTGTTATGATAATTCTCCACCTCACACATGCCCCACAAGCTATGTCATGGATTGGAAGGGAGATGTGTCTCTACAGCAGCAGGACTTAACAGACACAGAACAGTCTTTTTGCTTTGTTAGCAAAGGGTCAGCTGATGGGAATCCAGATTATTTTCAGATGTCTTTCACTTTGGCTGCTTCCTTTTGCTATTTTGCTGCCACAAAAAAAACAATATGCAGTATCTTCAAATCATCTTAAACTACCCAAATTTGTGAGCCTCCCCATCTATTTTTACAGTGGTTTATAAGCTACTCAGGGACCCCTGGTGGTCTAGTGGTTAGGATGCAGCGCTCTCACCGCCGCGGCCCGGGTTCGATTCCTGGTCAGGGGACTTCCCCGGGCAGATGGAGCTTGTCAGCCCTGTAAGGCCATCCAGCTAAGAGAAGGTCACTCTAAACAAACCTACGTCCTGAGGACCTCACTGCCACTGTCCAAGCTTGCTCGGCCCCGGCAGATGAACCTCAGGATTAAAGGGTGGGCTCAGTTCAGCGCACACTGTGTCTCACCTAAAAAATCCACTGCACAGGCTCGAAGGGTAAAGACCTTTCCCAAATCTTCACTCGCAAAGACTGGCCATGACACATAAGCTACTCAGATTCTTCATCACGTCATCCTGAAGCTCTGCTGGAAAAAAGCATTTTTTTATATATTTGTTATGATTTTTTTTTTTTGAGTATGACTTAAGCCCAAGAAAGACTAGAATAAGCAGAGAGGTTCACAGAAACAGCTTTCTCAAGTAACTTTATTCTGATATGGTGTGTGTGTATGCACTAGTATTTTCTTCTTTTGTTATCTACATTAACATCTGAGGCTTTTT